TATGTTCTTTGGTACAGAGCATTAAGTCTGCTCATTCCCTCCCCTGTAGGTCCCGCTCTCCAAGGAGGCGGTCCCCAGTACGCCGCCGCTCTCGCTCCAGATCTCCTGGTCGCAGGCGCCACCGGTCTCGTTCCAGCTCCAACTCCTCCAGATAGACGAGATTTCCTGCCTCCTGATAAGAAGTGATCTCTTCTCTGACACCAGATCAGCTGGAGATCCAGCTTTCCAGACCTCATGGACTCACCAGAAGTGTAATCATTTGCACTGAAGCCAACGTCAACATCTGCCTGCATGTAGAAAGTGGAAATGTTTTTCTTTTCTTTTTTTTCTATTTGTGCAAATGTGAGTCTCTTTTCATATTTTGTGTTAGGGTTGATCGTGAGAAGCTGTCTCTGTGATTCTGTTGTGTTTTGAGCAGAGTTTCCGCTTCACAGAGATCTACAAATATTTCTTTTTAAGTGTGACTTCTTTTTACCATGTTTGGAATTTTTAGACATTTTGAAAAATAAAAATGCTGAAACAGGCGTTCCCTGTGTAATAGTCAGTTAATGTTTAATTTGGCTGCCATACTTTCAAATGAATATGAACAAAGAGATATGCAGCAATGTGCTCACAGCTCAGCAGCAACACTGTAATCATACTTGGTCATTAGGTTTCTAATACCTGCTCTGTGGACTAAATGTATTATAAAACTGTGGGATAGAGATATTGAAGTGTTCTGGTTAATAGGCAAAGGAATCAGCTATAGTTTGATATAACATTTGAAAGTCTGTGTTGAGTGATGGTACCTACTGAACCTAAAGTACAGTAAGAGGCTGCACATTGTTGCCCCACTGCAGCTGTGACAGCACATTCCTCTTCCTAAGCATCATTTACTGGATAAAGAAATGAGATCTAAGGGAAGCGTTTTTTTCTAAAGGAAATAATTTCCTCAGTCAACTTTTTTTAAATTATTATTGGCAGGTGGCACTACTGGAGCAGTCAGCACAAAAACAACAACACCCCTTTAATGTATTCTCAATCAATTATAGAAGGAGAGGCATAAAGCTGGCGGTGTGCATAGAAACAGGAATGCGAAATAGATGCACATAATTTCATACGTCCTTAAATTTCTGTAGCTTCCAGTGTTTCAGCTTTTTTAACTGGTTTACATCCAGTCTTGTACCTGTCATGTCCACTCCTGAGCTCAGTGCTACAGAGATGCCATTGACTACTCTGAGGTGTTGCGCTTGCGTGAAGAAGATTGCATTCTATGATTTCACATATTACACACTGGGTTTCACACACACATCATTTTTGGCTAATAAGACTATTTTTAAAGGACGGTATGAGCATGTGCAAAGTGTGTATGACTGACATTTCCCTCAGTCTCCTGTGAGTTTCATTGTGCCTGTTAGGGTGGGACAATTAAACATGTATGGAAGACCAGGGTTGGTGGGCACACTTCTTATTTTCCTCCGTACTTTTTGGTATAATTTATTTGAGAATACTCTAACCAGCAGCCAATGAAAGGCTAATGTGTCAGCTATGAATCAATAGGTTTTAATGAAGACACACACACAAAATTAAAAAAAAAAAAAAGTCATGTGTTGCATTTGTGCCAACCAGCCCTATCAGGGGGTTTGTGGCACCAATTTTTAAGCAGTCTATCAGTAGGAATGTCTCACTACATTTGCCACTGACCATTCAAAATAATAATCTTTCAAAATAGTTTTAATCTCTTACAGTACACTTACAGTTGGTAATTTTACACACTCTAACATAAGTGTGTGAACTAACCCTGCTCATAGTCGACCCAACCTTGTGATGAAATTATGTTAGCCAGCTACCATCACTCATCACACTTTCAAATCTTATATAAAAAATATAGATCCCTAATTACTACTAATTAGAAGTAACACCTCTCCATTGGCTCCCTGTGGATCTGGCATTTTTTTTTTTTTTTTTTTTACAGAAATGAATAATGGCTATTTTTCTTTACCATTTTGATTGTCATTTTTATTGTCACAAGCCTTGAGTGATTCTTACATTCTTAATTGTGAAAATGTGTAGCCTATACACAGAATTTAAAAAAAATGTTTCTTGCATTTCATCAACTAGGGGCAGCTACAGTACTTATTAAAAGTACAAAGAAAAAGTTTGCAATTCTGAACGCACCCCCTGTGTGTCAACCAACCCCGGTCTCCCCCTACCATTTTAATTGGCTCATGGATTCATCCAGGTCCAATCAGGTGTGAGTGAAAACACCTGCGTGTCATGTTTTCTTAGATCATTCGTGTGTTTCAGGCAAAAAGAGAGGAATTTAATCATAACAACTATCTACCTGGCACAAGACCACAAAATACAGAATTAAGTTTTATTTCATTTCTCAGAACATTTTTCTGAATTTGGCTGGTGACATGACAGATTTTGGCTTTTGGATAAATGCCTTTAGTATTTCTAAAATTCTGACAACGTTCAGGTCGTTAAAATATCAGTGACAAAAAAAAACAAAACAAAACTTGAGGTACAAGAAAGCGTGACTGTGTCTGGGAGTGTCCTGAGCGCGTCTCCAACCATCACAATGACCGCTGGAGGTCTCCCTCCAGAGAAACAGACACAAGACTGAAATGCATTTATTGGTGTATCTAAATGGCTTTTACATCACCTACACTAGACTGACCATGCTCCACTCTTCAGCCACCCTCCACCTAAAAATGACAGCCTTCTCATTAGTCGCTTAGGGCGCGCTACTTTTGTTCCAAATCAACCCTGCGCGTCCCGGCGTCAATCTTTACTTTCGATGCGTGAGAGTTTGAGGCGTGCAGCCGCTGAGCAGAGTAGGCATCTGGGCTCCAACATTTACATGATGGCTTCGGATCAAGAGAAGAACAGGCAGCGTTTGAAGCAGCTGCTGGGGAAACCTGGGAATGGAAACTGTGCCGACTGCGGAGCTCCAGGTAGGCTTGGAGAGGAGTCACTGACAGATGGACGGAGGCATTTTAGTGACCCTTTCTTACTTAAATGTGTTTGTATACATTTTGTGACTACTGATTCCCGTGAGACAAGGTCGTTTAGTTTGTCTTGGACAGTCACGATGTAGCCTGGAAATATTTTAAAGCTGATAAAATGATTCTTTCACAGGAGCGCAGTGCATTTAAGATCTCTGAAAAAGACTAAATCCGCTTTAATGATCATGTATGTGTGCACATGCAAGGAATTCACCCACTATAATGTAGACACACAGCTAAAACAAAGTGAACATAACTAAATAATGTTTAATGATAGATATATTGTTAACCTAAGTGTCTAAGGCCACAGTGTTGCTTGAAAAGTGCTCTGCAACATATTTATTAACTTCTACTGCCATTCCTATGTGGGTTATCTTTCTCAGATGTGTTTTTGTAGGTTAAAAAAGGTCAAATGTGTGTTCATCTGGTGGTTGATTTCCTTTTGTGTGAGCACATGTGGTCACACACGCTGATGGTCACACCTTGCACTTATCACATCTGCAGTTCAGTACATAGGCATGCATACAAGAAAGGAAAGAGAAATACAAGCATACGGGTGTGGTTTGTAAGGCTCTACTTTAACCTGAGAGCAAGAAAGGTCCAGTTTGTTGAGTGAATTATCCCTCACTTGGCATTGCGTCTGGGTCAAAATGTAATATATTCAAGGTGTTGAAACACTAAAGCTCTTCTCTCTCATGTTTAGGATTAGTTTCACAATTGCTTGTCTATGAAATCTTAAAAAAATGAGAGAAAAACCCTGCACATAAAATATCCTGGATTCAAACAAAGACATTGTTAGTTTTGACAATGAAAAGCAGCAAATTCTCTCGTTTGGGAAGCTGCAACTGGAGAATATTTGGCTTCCCCCCACCTGAAATTTTCCCTAAAAAAAAGACTAAAATGACTTTATTATTATCAAAATAGTTGCAGGATATTTTGTCTTTCAATTGATTAATCAGCTATATTGATCTAAAGGTGCTTCATGCATTGATTCATTCTGGACTCTTACATTTTTCTTCCATGCCAAATGTGTTTGTACCCCGTGGCTGCTCGATTTAATATGCATCCCGTTGTCCTGCAGAGTGACTCGGTTGATTGTCTCAACTACAGCAGGCCCACATAATGCAGAGACGATGGGGAGTGGCTAGCTACACATGAGCCTCTTGTCTCTTGTGCACAGATGTGTGCAGCTTTGTGATTATGCACAAGGAAGCAATACTTTCTTTTTTGTGTTCTCATGCTTGTTTGTGCAGCGTGTATTCACTTTCTCTTGATTAGCAATGGTTAAAGGGCTGCAGATAGAGAGCACTTGACACTGCCCCAGTTCTCAGTTACAACACAACCACCACCACGGCAGATGCCATCTCACCTTTCATTGATATGACTAATGATTCTCATAATTAGATTTTGTAGTGTAGGAGGAGCTGTGTGTGTAGCCATTCATGCATTTGCTGCAACTGTTGCCTGTTGTGTGTCTGTCCACATACCTGATTTTAACTTGATTAGTGTGCTGTGTCTTGTGAAAGCAAAATAATCTGTCTTATTTACTCTTTCGGTTTAAAAATGAAAAAAAAAACAAAACCCAAACATCCTGTGTATTTATTGTGAAATTGGTAATTGTCATGCTGCACACTCTTTCCGCTCTCGTCACCCTTCAAAGGACTGCGTGAAGTTCTGACCTTCCTCTGAACTTCTTGAGAACATGGCAATACATCATGAGTGCTGAAACACAAGTATGTCATCTTTTCAGTTTGTTTGCTTTATGTCAGAGGTCTTCCATATTTGGGTTTTTTGGGGGCACAGAGGTGTGGGAGGTGGCAGTGACTCATGTAGGCTAAAAAGTGTGAATGTGGTGTGAGTGTGAATGGCATGTTGCCCAACTGTAACTCTAACTGTATATGATACACTGTAGACTGGCCTGTGAATTTCCACTATTCACATTAATGTTCAGGAGTTGGAGCTATAGTTTAAATGCATGCACAGACACATACACCCACCCGCCACCTTATCAGGTACACCTTGCTAGTACCAGGTTGGACCCCTTTTGCCTTCAGAACTGCCTTAATTCTTTGTGGCATAGATTCAACAAGGTGCTGGAAACATTCCTCAGAGATTTTGGTCCACATTGACATGATAGCGTCACACAGTTGCTTCAGATGTCGGCTGCACATCCATGATGTGAATCTCCCGTTCCACCACATCCCAAAGGTGCTCTATTGGATTGAGATCTGGTGACTGTGGAGGCCATTGGAGTACAGTGAACTCATTGTCATGTTGAGATGATTTGAGCTTTGTGACATGGTGCGTTATCCTGCTGGAAGTAGCCATCAGAAGATGGGTACACTGTGGTCATAAAGGGATGGACACGGTCAGCAACAATACTCAGGTAGGCTGTGGTGTTTAAACCATGCTCAGTTGGTACTAAGGAGCCCAAAGTGAGCCAAGAAAATATCCCCCACACCATTACACCACCACCAACAGCAGCCTGAACCGTTGATACAAGGCAGGATGGATCCATGCTTTCATGTTGTTTACACCAAATTATGACCCTACCATCTGAATGTGGCAGCAGAAATCCAGACTCATCAGACCAGGCAACGTTTGTCTAATCTTCTATTGTCCAGTTTTGGTGAGCCTGTGTGAACTGATGCCTCAGTTTCCTGTTCTTAGCTGACAGGAGTGGCACCTGGTGTGGTCTTCTGCTGCTGTAGCCCGTCTGCTTCAAGGTTCAGCGTGTTGTTCGTTTTGGCTATGCATGCAGTATGTATTCCTAAGTATATTCATGTACCAGCCTGTGATAACAGGAAAGAATTTTGAAGATAGTTCATTACCATATCTAATCCAGTGTCTCTGAGTTGCAGTAAAAGTGGGCTGTTTATGTGTAAATACGTCATTAAGGGAGACACTTGGTTGTGTTTGTGTCTGTGGGCAGAAATAGCATCTATGAAACACTACCCTGCTGGTTGATTCAAGGTGAGCCATCTACTCTCTCACACACTGACTAAGACAAAGGAAACACCCAGTCTGCCTTCACACAGACCTAAATACAATCCACATCTTGACTGACATACATTTCACCCAAACATTGAACATCTGAGCAACTGGGGGAAGGCTTATAATCACTCTGAGGATGTTGATTGAGTTGTTAAATCTAGATCATTTATACAAGCTCACTGCACTTTGGGTAACCTGCTTTGTGCACGGGATGAACTGAACACACTTGGAAAATGTATTATTTTAGATGCAAAGACAAATGGCTCAGTGCTGAGGGATATTCCTTTCATGTTCCTTTAAGTCCGTAAGTCATCACCCTGTCATACCCTGTGGTCAAATGTAATAAGTACATTTACTCTAGTACTGTACTTAAGTACAGATTTGAGGTACTTGTATTTTGCTGAAGCATTTTCTTTTCATGCAACTTTAAACTTCCACGTCACTACATCCCAGAGGTGAATACTGTACTTTGTGAATACTGTACTTCTCTACAGGGCCTTGCTTGTAACAATATTTTTACAGTGTGGTATTAATAATTTCTCTCAAGTAAAGACTCTGAGTACTTCCTCAACCACTGGTCCTAACCCTTGTGTCAGATCTCTATCCATAATTCTACTACAAAACTACATGCAATTATTAGGAATATTAATCCTTGTAAAAAAGACAAATATATATTTAAATAGATACACATGTAAATAGTTAGTTGCTTGTAATGTAGCAACCACTGTTTTGGTTGTATATTGTTCACTATGCTTAATCTGCTTTAAAATGTAGCTGAGTCATCAGTGTCTGTTAGGAGGAAGTTTGGAAATGTTTCAGTGTGTGATCGGTTATTCTGAGGTTAAAGTGGTTTTTGTGCGCATCTGTGCTGTGTTGCAGATCCGGAGTGGGCGTCCTACACCCTGGGAGTGTTTGTGTGTCTCAGCTGCTCGGGCCTTCATAGAAACATTGCTCAGATCAGCAAGGTGAAATCCATCCTGTTGGATCCCTGGAGCTCTGCTGAGGTGGAGGTACAGTAAGAACTCTACGTGAAGTGATTTTTTTTTAATTCACACAAATCCTGAACAAAGTAGAAAGCCCTGTGTTTTGTAAGAGAAGAGCAACCATTGATTATAGCATGAAACTTGGCTTGAGGTAACATCTGCAGCCTGTGGCCTCGCCCTCACCCAGCACATCCTGCTCCACTGTGAGCATGACTCTCCGCCTGCCGCTCTGCCACTGCATCCCTGCTTGGAAGAATAAGACAAGTCATCAGACTCGACTCAGCGTGGCCTGAAAGGCATGAGCCAGCAGCTGGCAGATACAACCACTATCTTTGTGTGGGTGTGTGCTGAATCCTGGGACACTCTAAAACTCACTGTAAAAACAGGACGATTAATCAAGAATGAGGCGAAAAGAAAAATGTATTTTCATACATGTAGTCCAGTCAGATTATCCGTATCAGCTTTCCACTCTGTGTAAATATGTGCGTCAAAAGGTTTGTGGTGTGTTTTGTCATTAGCTTTCTCTTCATGTCCCCCTTTGTCTGACTTTCTCTTTTGATTTGTGTGTGAATGGATGTGTGATCTGTAGTTTCCTAGCTGTGTGTGCTAATGCATGCTGAGCAGTGTCCTCTCTGTTAAATACAGAGACACACAAGAAGCAGCAGCACAGTCTCCCTCCGGGCATGGAGTCAGCCACACAAACACTGAGCTGCCTGCACCTCATTAAATTTGAGTGTGTGTCAGCCAAATACACATACGTGTGCTCACGGCCATTATGCCACAGAGCACACACTTATACACACAGATATCACTTACAAATATCAAATGCTTCTCTTCCTCCCCTCTGCAGTTCATGGACTCTGTGGGTAACAACGCTGCCAAGGCCAAATATGAAAAGATAGTTCCTGCCTTCTTCTACTGTCCTACACACAAAGACTGCATGTAAGTGATGTGTTTTTCTCTGCCCTCTGTAGTGTCTGCTCCAGATGGCACCTTTAAGATCACAGTTATTGTTCCATATGCTGTAATATGAGAATTTGTGAAAAGGAAGTGGGCCCAATAGTGTTTCCTGTATTGTAAAAACAAAAGCCGAAAAGAAAATTAGATAAACGGTAAAACTAAGCGGTGCTGATCAAATATGAACCAAGATTCTGATACTGCGTTGCTTATTTCTCACCTTAAATATGGCTCAGAAGTAGAGTGGGTCATCCACTAATCGGAAGATCGGCAGGTCGATCCCCAGCTCCTCCAGTCGGCATGTCAAGGTATCCTCTGGCAAGATACTGAACCCCAAATTGCTCCATCGGTGTGTACGTGCAAGTGAATGGTTACTGAGTAGCAGGTGGCAGTTTGTACCGTAGTCTGAGTCACCAGTGTGTGAATGTGTGTGTGAACGGGTGAATGACATGTAGTGTTAACGTGCTTTGAGTGCTCAGAAGAGTAGAAAAGCTCTATACAAGTGCAGTCCATTTACCATTTATTTTAGGTTGCCAGTTGCAGTTTGAGGTCATTTGTTACCATTGGTCACCATATTGTGTCCTGTGGAAAAAAATGGCCAGGCTCGCATTGCGTCAACCACCAGCGGGAGCGTATATTGGTCTGGTGCGGCTCAGTGCATTTTGGTAGTTGTGGGTTTTCTACCTCTTAAAGGGACATTTCGGTTTATTTCAACCTGTCTCCTATCATCCTAAATTTAATTCAAGTGACTAGTGACATAAAAATAATAGTTAGCATGTTAGCCGTTAGCCTAGATACAGCCGGGGCGCATAGTAGCGTCAGACCTGTTAAAACATAAGTGAACGGGCAACCTTCAAGTGCAAAGTTAGTCCACTAAACAAGCTTTTTTTTCCACAAAGACCGCCTCATATCGTTAGGATAAATGTCAGAGAACATATAGAAAATGACATGTAAACGTGTTGTCTTACCTTACTGGTGTGCTGCCATGTTTGTTTACCATCTAGCTCTGCTTTCCAAAGCGCAGCAGAAATATATCTCGCCAGCTCTAGATAAAGCCCAGCTGGATACTACTCCAGGTGGAGGTGTCTCGTCCTTGGTCACATCCAGACCTTGAAAATAAGGCTGCAACCGGTCCCATTCCTTGCAACAGAGGCATTCCTCTTCTGTGGGCACTGGGGAACAGCATTCACAGGTACACCACCAATCTCCAGAGCTACGCAGCCTTGCAGCAGCCATTCCTCCTTTGTCGTCCTCTACCTGTTGTGCCTCTCTCTCTCTCCTCAAATAAATAAGGGCGGCCATCAAACTCTGCAAAATCAAATTCCTCCTCCACAAAGTCGAAATCTGGTAAAAAGTCAGCCATTACTCATAAAATAAATGAATGAACTTTTCAGGCTACTGTCCGGTTCTGCCTTCCAGCTGTTGTTGCTTGTTCTCGCAAGATTTTGGGCACGGTATGAGATCGCTGATTGTTCTCGCGATATTTCGGCCATGCTTTGGAAAGCAGAGCTAAATGGCACCACACCGGTTTACATGTCATTTTCTATATGTTCTCTGACATTTATCCTAACGATATGAGGCAGTCTTTGTGGGAAAAAAAGCTTGTTTAGTGGACTAACTTTGCACTTGAAGGTTGCCCGTTCAATTATGTTTTAACAGGTCTGACGCTACGGCTGTATCTAGGCTAACGGCTAACTATTATTTTTATGTCACTAGTCACTTGAAACAAATTTAGGATGATAGGAGACAGGTTGAAATAAACTGAAATTTCCCTTTAAACAAAAGCAAATGCCACAGCCCTTTTCCTCTGTTTGGTTTTTCTGGTCATTTAGCACCAGTTTCAGAAGTAATTTTTGTCTTCCAACTGCATAGATGGCCCAGTTTTATGAAAAGCCCATCCTTCCTGCAGTGAAATACTTCTCTAATAGGAGCAACAAGTGGTTTTGGTAGTCAGGTCAACTCCTGAGTGATAAGAGTGCCAAGTTCCTGTAGTTCAAACAGGAAGCAAAAGTTCAGTTCAAGAGTTTCTTCTTAACTATCCAGTGATATAAACGACAATAGAACTGTGAAGTTAATCTTCGAATAGACCTGCATTGTGTTTATGAGGGGTGATTGCACAAAGGAAAGGATGACTGGATAAAGAAGAGAGGGAGAAAGACAAATCAAAGAGCTGCGCAAGGCTTTTACATTTCATTTTGTGATGCTGATTTGTTGAAGATGACATAGCTGATTAAGTGTGGTGAGTGTGCTGAAATGATGCGGTGTCTTGGTGAGCATGCAGCCCATTTGTTTACGCATGATGCTTTGTGAACGTTAAGGGTAATTATTAAGAGGGCAGAAAAACTCCAGCGAAACGAATTTAATCAAGATGGATATGAGATAATAGAAGAGCACGGGCCGTATAATTAGCATTGTGATAGATCGAGGACGAGGGAGACACAAGTGATAATTACGAGAAGATGAGCTGTATAATATTCGACTGCTTTTGTTTAGAGTTTGCATGAAATGTGGCTCGGAGCCTCGACACCCATGTAAGTTAATGAGATGATTCCAACAAATCAGCTCAAGCATGAAGTAAACATCAACCAGAGGCAGAGCTGAGTGTCTAACACCAACTGTTGTGCAGGCTCCTGCGGGACCAATGGATCCGAGCCAAGTACGAGAGGAAGGAGTTCCAGTGTGTGGAGAGGCAGGAGCCCTACTCGGCAGGTAAGAATGAAATGTGCCTCTGTACAGTTACGCATGCAAACACATTATGCTCCTTGCTTACCCAGGAAAGCAAGTAATTGTGTCTCGCACAGCACCACCTATTCAGCACTGAATGAATACACAGCAGGGAAACTGCATCATCCATTTATCATTACAAGCATTCTTGGGTGAAAAATGAAAGCGGAAAGGAAGAGAGGCCTCACCTCATACCTCACTTTGCTGCTGCAGCTTAAAGGAACATTTCAATATTTTTAGGGAATGAGAAAAATGGTTACAGCATGCAACTACAGCTGAACCTGAAGTAGTTTTCTTTCTGTTTATGTTTAAACAAATGAGTCACACAGGGTTAATAACTAAGCTTTAGAGGGAAACACCACCTCAGATAAGAGTTCCAATATGTTATCTCCATGGCCCAAGAAAGTTCAATCACCAAGTTGCTGCGTGAAAACTCAACATTCCTTATTTTGGTGCTTCACAATAAAAGTTTTTACACAACAAAATAACAGGAGACTTTTACTGTGAAGAATCTGTAGGAAATGAAATGCGCTATCACTGAATTAGTGGAACTTTGTCAGCAGTTTCTCTTCAATAATAATAGCAATGATTAAGGCAAGTCTAATAATAACGCAGGGAGGAAAGTGAAAGCAGAAACAGTCAGAGTGAGATGTTGATGAAGAGCCGCAAACGACAGGCTCGTACTGTACCTCTGCACGCATTGGTTTAAGTCTATATCTGGAGAACATGACCCTGGGTGCTCTCGGTTTCACCTATGACATCTTTCCTAATTCATCATCTTTGGAGCAGCTCCAGACTTTATACCCTATGACATCACATATCTGAGGTTTAGCTGTCTAGTTTTTGGATTTTTGGAGAGTTGTTCATGTTTAATTATATTTTTGGACTGTCTTAGACCAAAGAAATAACATGTATGGATTTTGAAAATAAGCATAGGCAAGCTGTTTCCCTTTACTTCCACTCTTTATGTCAAGGTTGGCTAACCATGTCCCAACTCCAGCTTCCTACTTACTAGCACACAAAAAGGAGACTAATATCAGTCTTCTCATCTAAGCCCGCTGGCGAAAATTATTTTATGACCATGTGATGCACTAGTGTACAAATATTTATCTGCAGATAGAGAGACAACGTTCTAGGGACAGGGGGTGTTACATTTAAAGCAGCACAAACTGTGGTGATGATCTTGTGAGAAAAGTGTATCGATATCTGTTGGGGGTCAGTGTGTGTGAAGGTGCTATTTAGCCTGCTAATGGCATTACACAGTCAAAGGGTGTAATAATGAATAAGTCATCATGGCCCAGTAGGCACCGTGGCACACTGCTCATTTACATGGCCCAGCCCGATTAGCCTGCCAGTCAGACTTAGTGCTCATCGGTAGTTAGACAGATAGATGGCGTGTCAGCATGCCTTATGTTGCAGAGACAACGAGGGCTGGTCATCAAGGGAGGAACGCCGCCCTTTGCTGTCCAACGTCGGCCTCTCCCTTGTTTTTCTTTCCTTATCCACACCCTCCTCTGTTTCTGCCAAGCCACTATTTGTCTCACCCTTTTCTTGTGGTCGTCTGCATCTGATCATTTTGTCATTGGCCTGAGTTTACTTCCTCACTAATGCGTATTGCGTAACCCTTATCTCTGTCTTTTGTGCTGAATCATGTGCCTGGGTGAGTGTGTGTGTGTCGCAGATGACAAATGTCTCTTGGCTAATCGCCTGATGCAACCTCATTAAAAGAGACGAGGTGGCACCAACCTGACTGCTAATCAGACTCTGCTAATCAATAATGGATGTCCCCTCAAACTGAGTGGCAAAGACTGGGCCATTATGCTCTCATAACATTAGAATCTTATCTGTAATAGAAATAAATTACGTTCTATTTCTATGTATTAGCAACAGTGTAGAGGCTAAGATTGGGCCATTATGGTCTTGGCACTGTGTCCATGGTGAAGACAAGGGATTGACCTTTGTCTGCAGTCCATGTAAAGCAAGTTAAAGTAGTTGAAATATTACTCAGCTGTAAGAAACAATTACTATTCTACCTTTTTTTATCTGTCAAGAATAACCTAGGAGATTTGTAAACCATTTACTGAATGTTTAAATACTGCATACAAATGCCAAACATGCAGCTTTAGATCTTTCTCACAGCAAAGTTAAATGGTTAAACACAGATGCAACATTAATCTCATTGAGGGGCCAGTTGCACCAACAGGGCCCAGCCTAGCCTTAAAGGGTCAGTCTGGAGGATTAAAGGGGATATACTGGCATGCATGGAGTCTGCCATGTTGTTTATACAGTAGCACAGAACAGACAAAGCAAACTCTTGACTCTACATAGGGCCTATTGTGTTTTCGTGTTGGCCATTGTAGGGCTCCTACACGCTTTGCATGTGATAGGAGATTCAGTGCTAGATCTTTAAGCTAAGCCGGTCATAACTTAGCCTCCTAAGTCCGACTTGATGGATTTTCTGGTTGCAGCATCTAGGCTCAAGCCTTGTTCTTGCTAAGACCAGGCTGAATTTTACGCCTTGTTAGGAGCAGACGTAAAGTCACAATCTCAGCTGTTGCTATATATCAGCAGCCTGACACACAACATAAGAGCGACAAACTAAACAACAGCCCACATTAGCTTTCCTGCTAAAGTCTCCTTTTTATTTAGCTAATTTACAAACATGAACAAGGTAGCCAAAATGACCTGGCCCAGAATCAGCCCAAACTCGGCATGCTGGATGAAATTAGCCAGGCAGCATCTCGTTGCCTGACCAGGCTGAGACTTGGCATGAATGATGCCCCAGAATCAGGCCAAATCAGATGGCCCGAGTCTACCTGCCGACACTGCCACCCCCGGGCCATTATCAAGAATGACCTGGCCCAGCATCAGCCCAAACTCGGCATGCTGGATGTAATAATCCGGTTGCCTGACCCTCTGTATGAATGACGCCCCAGAATCGGGCCAAATGAGCCATCACTGGGATGACTTGTCCTTCACCTCAGCTTGTTGAACAAGCGACCACAGGTTAAAAATGCACTGCTAATGTAAGTTATACACCCAGGTGTGTTCATTGGCTAAGCATCATATAAACTTACCAGCAAATGTCACTTCAGTCTGTTCAGATGCTGGTGCGGTCCTGGTTAATTCCACTGCTAACAGCACATTGTCAGTCCATGAGATGTAAGCCACAGCCAAGATGGTTTGGCCTGACCTGTGGAGCTCCACCTGCCAGCTGCTGTCAGTCAAACAGAAACAGGGCTCTCCTGTACATTTCCATTAACCTTCATATCTTGATGTCAGTGAAACTTCTTTTTCTCTTTCTCTGATCCTCCATAATAACGTTGCCATGAATAATAACTGGTTAGCTACACATTAGCAAGTCAGCAGGAGAATGTTAACAATGTATCATGTGCTGCTCGGCAATAGCCATAGTAGTAGTAATAATAATAATAATAATAATAATAATAATAATAATAATAATAATAATAAATTTTATTTGTATTGCCCTTTATATTTTAGCAATCTCAAAGTGCTACAGAGCAGATAAAAAAAACAAACAAACCAAAAAACAGAAAAGCAATTGGAAACAGTTAGAATTAATACAATTTAAAAAGAATTTTAAAAATGATTAGAAACGATAAATAGTTAAAAGGAGAACCTATAAAAGACATTTAGCAGAATGCTTTTGTGAAAAGATAGGTTTTTAGGTCTCGTTTAAAAACATCAGTAGTCTGTGGGGCCCTGAGGTGGTCAGGGAGGGCGTTCCACAGCCTCGGAGCAGCAGAGGAAAAGGCCCGGTCACCCATGGTGCGGAGCTTGGTTCTGGGGGCTTGGAGGGTGTATGTGGTTGCAGAACGGAGGGTGCGTGAGGAGGTCTGGGGGGTGAGGAGTTCCTTGAGGTAAAGGGGGGCATGTATGTGAATGCACTGGTGGGTGAGGAGGGAGACCTTGTACTCAATTCTGAGTGGGACAGGGAGCCAGTGAAGCGATTTCAGGATGGGGGTGATGTGATCGTGTTTGCGCACCCTCATCAGGATCCTGGCAGCGCTGTTCTGGATGTATTGCAGTCTCTGTATGCTCTTGCCAGAGATCCCGATGAGGAGTGCATTACAGTAGTCGAGCCTGGAGCAGACAAAGGCGTGGACGAGCTTCTCTGCATCTGCCAGGGTGAGTGTTGGACGGAGTTTGGCGATGTTCCTGAGGTGGTGGAATGAGGTCTTACAGAGGTGTTTGATGTGGGTGTCAAAGGTGAGTTGAGAGTCCATTTTAACACCCAGGTTGGTGACAGATGTGGTAAGGGGGATGTTTTGGCCAGAGAAAGTGATACTGGTGATGGTGGAAGAACAGAGCTGATGTGGTGTGCCGACTAGGATGGCTTCCGTTTTGGGACTGTTTAGCTGTAGGAAGTTGAGCTTCAGCCACGCCTCTATCTCCTCCAGGCAGGTAGTCAATGTGGATGTTAGCAGGGGAGCATAGTTGCTGGGCATTCACGTTATTGGGCATGGCTAAGCGAGGGCATAGTTAAGACTGGGCTTAAAAGAATACTCCTCCAATACTTGACCAGTTGTTAATCCATTACACACCATGTGTTACCTTAAATTTGTGAAGGAAATTTTGTTCTTCTCACATGACTCCTCTGTGAACGGAGAATCCAAAAACAGAGAGAATCCCTCATGAATTGAAGTCATAGGGGACCACATTTAAGAACAGCAAAAGTATACTGAAACATTAATTTACAAACTCTCACACAACTCGTGCAGTATAATGCAAATCTCATTTATCCAGTCGTATGCTCAGTACTTCCTGAACACATGCATTATTGCTAAAACATTACTATTTAAAAACACTTTCAGCTACGAGTAGCATGCCTGGACATTCACATGCTTATGACCTGCACTTGAGCAGAGTTCAAATGCATGCACGTGCCCAGCTACTTGGCCACGCATGAGGCTGTACTCATGTATTTTATGCTGTTGTGTTCCACCTAATATGCATGTTTGGGAAGTACTGAGCATACGACTGGATAAATGAGACTCTAATCATCTGCAGGAGTTGTGTAAGAGCTTGTAAAAGGATGTTTTGATATAGCTTTGCTGTTATTAAAGGCGGTCTTCTTACTTAATTTCAAGAAAAATGTTGGCTGTATTTGGATTCTCCATTCACTGTGGAGGCAGGTGAGGAAAATTAAGTTTTCTTAACGAATTCAAGATAACCTGGGGTGAGTAAATGTTGTACAAATGGTCATTTTGCAGGTGGAGTGTTCCTTTAAGTCTGGTTGGTGCACCTGATGTCAAGTCCATTCTTAAGACTGGCTTTGCAGTCCAGGCTTTGTAAAGACTAGTTGGTGCAACCTGCCTCAGGTGTTGTTTGGGTAGGTGTCCAGTATTGTGCATGCTTACTCACCAACATGGCTCACTAAGATGTCCAAATGTAACAGGGCCATCACTGAAGGACAGATCCACTGTTTTTCATTTTATTAAAATGTTATTTCAATCATTTCTAATCATACAGAGTACAACTTCACAGACAGAGTTTTTCTCACTGGCTTTTGCACGGTCTAAGTGGAAAACAGGATGCTGCCAGTAAAGTCAGACATATGTTGCTCCATATGTTCTCCTGATAAAGCTGGTCACCAACTACGCCTTCTATCAGGTTACATTGCCTGTTTCCCTTTGTGACCTCTGAGCCGGAAACGGGAAGTTGTGCAACATAAAGTCAGTTAACCTGATAGAAGGCATGGTTTGTGGCCATTTTTTGGAAGAGCGTTTGAAACATGTTGCTGTTACTCCACACACACCCCTGCAGAAGTTATGGGTGGGACTTTCCCTTCAGGTTTATAGAGCCACAGTGTCAAGTTCACACACAAGTTTAAAGAACACAGCACAGTTCCTTTTAACCAGAGCCACATGCTACGTTCTCACAGGGCTACAGCTGAGCAGCCTCTTGCATTTTCATTAGGTAGTTTTAAGAAGCGCCTTCACTGTGAACTGAAGAGCTAAAATATAGCGTTTTAAAAAGGAAAAGAAAATCTCACTTTAAGGTAGACGAGATATAGTACTAGTACCCAAGTCTCATGACTGTCAAACTCTTCCTCTCTGTGTCTCTCTGTCTCTCCCTCTCTGTCAATGGCCTTTTGTGTTGTGCTGTGCAGAGGTTTAGAAGCATGTGGCTGTGTCTCTGCCACGGAGGAAGAATGGCGTCTTTTGTACACAAGTATTCTATATAACATTGCTGCTAGATTTCAGGCCAGGAGAAACGAGCAGAGATCTGTGGAGGACTTGAAGATAGACAGATGCTGCGGTCCAAAACTTGCTTTGCTCTCCCGAGTGTTTGCAAATCTTTGACACCCAGTTGTAACAGTGAATGAATTCTCTTGTTCTGCTGTGCTGGTGTTATGTTGTGGACAGTCTGACGCTCCTCCTCCTCCTCGCAGCAGTGGAGCAAAACTTTCTTGCTCATGAATAATTGATGAAGCCATTACTTTACCAGAAGTTTACTGTGTGCAGCCCACACCAAGACAACTTTATTACTGTACAAAGAAGCAAAGGGAAGGGATGAAGGGAGGGATGGACGGTGCAGGCGGACCGGCAGACAAATATTAATTGTTTCAGCTCCATTTCCCCGAGGAAATGGACAATTTTACTGCAGCGTTTTCCTCTCAAAATGTCTCTTGTATGGCACTTTAGCTCATGCAGTACCAGCATTTGAATGACGCACTTTACTTTCAGTCCATATTCTTGCACAGGGGAAGTGGTTTATCAGTTGTTTTTAATGTAGTCTGCTATTTGGAGATTTCCATGTAATCAGAAGAAAACAGTTAAGTGCCATTTATGTGAGCCTGTGAGTTGGCACCACAGGGGATTATTATTAGTACATTTTCATACTTTTTCTTTTATAAATACCGCCCTCATTAGTTCTGATCTGTTCTTAATTGTATCCCTGTTTGTCACACTGCTTTGGGGTTTTTGTGTATATAAAGAACTTTTCAAACTTTTTTAAAGATATATAATGATGCTGATCGCCCTGAAAAGTACGATAAAGAAAAGCTGAAACAATGGCAAATAAAAATAAATATGCACAACAGTTTTCACTTGTGGTTACTGCAGTGTCACAGTGCTGTCAGACTGTGAACAATGTCTAAAAGTAGGATCTGCGGCTGTGAAAACAAGTGCACTTGATTCTGACAACTCTAAATCAAGATCCACTTTATTACTGTGTTAGAAATCCAGTTCTGGGATATTTGTAGGGAAATAATTTTCTGTTGCTTATTGCTGATTTGTGCGTGTGTGTGTGTGTGTTTTGGCCGGTTGTGCATAAGGCAATGACGATGCATTTCTTCCTGCAGTGCCAGTTCTGTTGGCTGATGCTGAGTATGGGTAGAGAGGCCAGTGTCAGGAACAGACCCAGGAACAGAGCCAGCAAGATGTGGGTGTGTGTGATGTTTGATATGGCTTTATATAGAGGAGATTAAAAATGATGGAGCACATATATATTGACTCATTCCCACACTGCTGCCACTGATTAGATAGAAAAATACAAGTTCTGAAACACAAAGGTGTTTTAGCAGTTGTTAATCAAAAAGTGTGTGTGTATGTGTGTGTTAGAGAGACAGAGTTTATTTCAGTGATGTTCAGGCGTGTAGAGGAAGCCATCAGTTGAAGCTGAATTATTTATGTGTAGTAAAAGCAGAGGTGCTTCCTCTCACCACTGCTGAGAACACTGCTTAGAACAGTGACCACATAAGCTAAAAGTGCGCACGCGCGCGCACACACACACACACACACACACACACACACACACACACACACACACACACACACACACACACACACACACACACACACTCGCCAGTAGTACAGCTCTTTAGTGGTTTCCACCAGCATTGTTTCTGGGTCAGTGTCTTGTGTAACATTAAATGCTAAAAGACCTCTCAAGCTCTTGGTGACCACTGTTGCATAGGTAATGAACATAACTCAAAATGTACTCGATGAGTATATATGTAAATGACTATTTGTGTATTTGCAGTTCCCCTCAGCTCTTAAGAACCTTCGAACCTTTCAGTTTGTTGGCCAGCAAGCTCGTCAAACGGCAGACAGACGAAGTTAGCAACTACCTGTTGAACCAACCTGATCTGCCTCCCAACTCGTCAAATACAGATGCTTGGTTAGTGGCCCTCGGCATCAGTCACTGAGGCACCTTGTAGCAGTAGTATGAGATTCAATGGTCAACTACTGTGGTATAGAGAGCTAAAAAGTCTGCCAAGGATGAAGGTGAGGGGAAGTGGATGGGTCAAACAAACTCAAGACTTTGACCGTGGAGACCGCTTTTTGTGTCCTGTGTGACACTAAAAGTTAATGGAGTGTGTTAGCATGTGTAGCATGCTATACTAGTGACATATGTGACGCGATGTCAGGTTAGTAACATACCTATTTTAAGCCATGATGATTTTTCTAAACCCAACTATGTACTTTTGTTGCCCTAACCTAAGGAAGTAAGTTTTTTTTCTTTATAACCCATGTTCTAAGTTTAAAAGAGACTGTCAGGATTTAACGAGCAGATTTTGCACATTTCCTGTTAAAGACAGGATGCATATGAGGGTAAATTGACAAGCAGTCCTGGAGCGGTCAAAACTGGTGCAGGAGAGGTACCTAGTGCATCCTATTTTGATGTGTAGGACCGCTGACAAAGCAGAGTTTGAGATCAAAACTGAGCTAAAGCACAAGTAATAATTGGACGTACAATCTTTGAGTGGCCAGAAACATAAATGCACAAACGTTGCTCTGTGTCTGATGGATGTGTATATCCGCAACTTGCTGACAGGTTTGCCATCTCAACACAAGGTGATTAAGTGCTCCTTATAATTCTCTTCTGCGTGCATGTTCGTCTTACAGTTTTGAGCTATTGTATATTAACAGCCTGTTGTCTTCCCTCTGCTCTCTCTCTGTATTCCTGCTCCGTGTCAATGATACTTGACCCATGTGGCTCCCCTCCTGGCAGGCTACAGAGAGGGGTTTCTATGGAAACGAGGCCGAGACAACGGACAGTACCTCAGCCGAAAATTTATTCTGTCCGAACGGGAAGGTGTTTTGAAGTACTTCAACAAACATGATGTGAGTGTTTCCCCCCACTTTCTCTCTTTTTCTTGATCCGTAAATGATGCGATCTCGGTGTTAAAACTGCCTTTGTTTACAAAAAAAAGGTAAACATCTGCATATTTTTCTATTATTTATCATCTATCTATCAGCTATTTCTTTTCCAGGAGAGCTGAGACTATACCTCTCTCCTCTAAAAATGTCTTTCCCTTCTGCAGGCCAGAGAGCCCAAAGCGATAATGAAGATCAATACTGTTAATGCCACTTTCCAGCCGACAAAAATAGGCATCGCCCACGGCCTGCAGGTCACCTATTTGAAGGACAACAGCACTAGGAATGTCTTTGTTTACCACGAGGATGGAAAGGTGAGGTGCACTGCCTCTACTTGGTGTTGTGGGTGGGGGGGACAAGCGCAGGAGTGTGTCTGAGGATGCAGGAAAAGGCACGTGTGTCCCTCTGGTGGAAATGGTTCGCCATTACAAGCTAGTGTGCCACTTAAGTTTACTTTTATAGTCTTTAATAATAGGTAAAGGCTTCACAGAACTTACACAGCATGAGGAATAATATTGTGAGAATATGCTACTTCTTCCAAATGGAGCACATCTCCTGTGGGTTTAGATCTTTTCAAAATGCCATTTAGAAAAGCCATTTAGTCTGGTAATGCGTGCTGTGTGGAGTGCTGGCGTAATTACGGACAATCAGGGCTGATGATGTGTGAGTGTGAGAGGATAATCTTGTAGTAAGAGGCTGTAACTGAACATCCTGATGTCTTGTCCTGAAGGAAATGGTGGACTGGTTCAACGCCATCAGAGCAGCTAGGTTTCATTACCTGCAGGTGGCTTTTCCTGGAGCTTCCAACTCTGATGTGAGTACACGCACGCATGCACACACAGTTTATACATACACAGTTTTGCATAATTTCTGTGGGGACACTGCTTCCTACAATTAGTAAAACAAAAAAAGTAGGAGTTATCACACAGGCCTAGCGTATTACTAGCAATATGGAGGCAGAAACAGAAACACACACAATCAGTGACTAAGTATTTGCCTTTTGTTTGTTTAGTTGATGCCAAAGCTATCCAGGAACTACATAAAGGAGGGTTACATGGAGAAGACTGGTCCAAAGGTAATGCAATTTTCTTTTTTGTTTGTTTTGTTTTTCTGCAACACATTCTCACTCCCAACTCGTAAAGTACCGACGCTTGGTCAGAAAGACAGTGCATCTCAAGCCACCTGGTTCACTGTGTAACAGCGGTGAGTGAGCCCCAGTCCTCAGGCGTCAGGACTTCACCTGTCTACCCTCTTTGATGGAGAGGTTGAGGTTAGAGTCCCAGACTGTAGCTGTGCACAGTCTAGGTGACCTCTCACAAGAGTGATCCTGCCAACAATGCCAAGTTGTGGTGGCACTGTCTACTAGACAAAACACAGCGAGTCAGAAACTTGTCTTTCTGTAAGTTTAATTCAGCATCTGCAGATGGACTCGCGACAGTCAAGAATGAGCCGAGTGCAAAGAGTGAACCCTGAACACAGGAGATGTCAGATACTTACTGAGGTCGGGGATCTTTAGCTAGCATTGTCAGAGGGGTGACAAAGCAGTTTGGGTCATCTTATCTAGTTATGTCCTTGGACATCATGTAAAGCACTCACAGCGTGTTACACACTGACAAAGAGTAAATGTTATGTGCTTGTGATATCCTGATAAGACATAAAATGCAAGATTACTTCACATTCTTTCTGCTTTGTGGCACATAGTAGAGGCTGAAGTTTCCATTAAGTGTTAAATGTTGCATAGATTTTACATAATTTCTATTAAATTGTTGATTACCTTTTCCATTAGATTCATAATTACCATGATAGACCCTATGCATCAAACTAGGTACCTCACTAGCGTCTTTTTTGGGTGCTCAGGGAGGGCATGTCAGTTTCTGCTCATTACATGTGTACAGTCTTTCAAAAATAAACTTCCAATGTAGGCTTACTTCATTTTCAGGTTTAGGCAACAAAAGTACTTGATAAGTTTGAGAATAAAGATCATGGTTTGGGTTAAAATAAGTACATAATGTAATGGATGTCACCTGATATACACCACCTATGTCACATGACCTGCTATGTGACAGTTAAAATACTCAGCAGTGTGATGTTTGACCAATCCACCACCCTTCTCTCCCACCCTGCGTGGACTTTTTTGCTCTTTATACTAGAGCAGTTGCTCTGATCTAATGATGACGTGACCCAGTGCGTCTCATACAGACGCTAAAGGGAGCCTCAGTGCTTCAGTTTCAGACACTGAAGGCCACTGACCAAACATTGGCATTTGACAAGCTGGGAGTGAGAACCCTGTTTTCTGCAACATTTTTGCTCATAGAATACTTCTATGTATTTCCCTAACATATCAATCAGGTTGTGGAAAAGCTGTAACTGCAACCTGCAGAGCACGAACGTTATTTATTTGACATTTGTAGCTCCATGAAATGAGCTGCTGCCACAGTTTCTCTCCTGTTTCTGTCCAACAGCACACAGAGGGCTTCAAGAAGAGATGGTTTACGATGGATGACAGGAGGCTCATGTACTTCAAAGATCCACTGGTATTAAAACTGCACGTCGCGGGGAAGCTGCTGCAGATGTTGCTATGCCTTTTACTCTGTTCTGTATTTGTGTCTGGGTCTTGAAACGAAAATGTAGATAGTTTGTGTGCATGTTGTTGGGAAATTGGGATTAGCTCACACTGACAATTTGGTTTGTTGTGCTTTACATGCTAAGACAGCAAAAAATGCTTTGAAATATTACATGATTAGTCACAATCACTTAATTTAGAAGTGTGATTATTAAAATATGTGTTTCTCCCTTTGCCCCCAGGATGCCTATGCACGAGGTGAGGTGTTCATCGGCAGCAGGGAAAACAGCTACACTGTGCTTCCCGGCCTCCCCCCGAACATACAGGGCTACCACTGGCAGTTTGGCATTACGATAGTGACCCCAGACAGGAAGTTTCTATTTGCGTGCGAGACTGAGGAGGATCAGAAAGACTGGATCGCTGCATTTCAAACAGTAATCAACAGACCAATGCTGCCTCAGGAGTACGCAGGTAAATTTAACACCATGTAAGTCAAGTCATGATTTAGCTCTTTTCAATTTCTGAGTCTGATTTATATTTGTTTCCATTCTCTTTGCAGTGGAGGCCTATTTTAAGCACAAACCATGACGGTCTTAGTGTTTGAAGGCCTGTTGGTGCAGGATGAGGAGCAGGGGGTGGAGCTGGAGAAGAGAAGGACCTGAGATATGTATGTTATCTTATAATGGAAGTCTTTATAAAGACTTAGGCCGGAGGTACACTTGCTTTTAACTATGCATTCGTGTGCGTATGATGGCTGCCTCAGGTATCCTGCATCCGTTTGGAGTGTTGGTTGTGCACATCCTCAGAAATTAACGCTACACAACTGCAACATACAATATGCACATGAATGGTAGGGGCAATGTGAGAAACATACCCACCATTGTCCTGACGTGCTTGATTTTAGGGCCTCACATGCCATCTACGAGTGCACCGCCGTCACTTTTACTGCCATGTTAATTGTTTACATCATGCAAATCCATTTGTCCTATACAGTACAGTCTGTCTCTGATGTGCCCCCTAGTGGAATCCTCCAGTAACACGCGCAGTATATAGGCAGGTACGTCAACAAATCCATCCATGACTCAGCCGGTTGTCTACACGAACATGTAGTTAAAAAGCAAGTATATCTCCAGCCTCAAGGGTGACAGACAAAAGACCTAAAGGGTGAGACGTTAGCATTCGCACAGTGACTCCTTTACCTGCCATTCTGCTTAACCTCACCTACATTACATGCCAGACCCATTCCTTAAGGAGTCTGAATCACTTCTAAGCTCATGAATGTTAGCCTAACTCACTCATCTGTTATGTGATGTGACTTACATACTTGAAGAGGTCAGTCATCCTGACCGAATGTGCAAAAGGTGTTTGTATGAATCAGAGTTGTTGCTGCTTAGATGTCAGAAATAGTTTTTTTTTTTAATCTGTTATCAGTAGTGTAAGTAGAAATACTTAAATTAACTAGATACAACTGAATTAAACTTGCATTTCAACCAAGTGTAAAAACTCAGCCCCTGGCCAGTTATACACAGACTAAACATTATGTGACACAGGACTGTAAAAGTCAGTAAGAAGGATGGATACATACAGTCAGGTCCATAATTATTTGGACAATGATACAGTTGTTGTCATTTTGGCTCTGTACACCACCACAATGGGTTTTAAATGAAACAATGAATACATGCTTAAAGTGCAGACTCTCAGCTTTCATTTAAGGCTTTTTTCAAAAATGTAGAATGAACAATGTAGGAATTACAACCATTTCTTCACACAGTCCCCCGACTTTAAGGGCTCATAAGTATTTGGACAAACTAACATAATCATCAATTAAACAGTCAGTTTTAATACTTGGTTGAAAATCCTTTACAGTCAATGACTGCCTGAAGTGTTGGACACATAGGCATCATCAGATGCTGGGTTTCTTCCTTGGTGATGCTCTGCCAGCCCTTTACTGCAGCCGTCTGCACTTCCTGCTTGTGTTTTGGGTGTTTTGCCCTCAGTTTTGGCTTCAGCAAGAGAAACGCATGCTCAGTTGGATTCAGGTCAGATGATATGACTTGGCCATTGCAGAACATTCCACTTCTTTGCCTTAAAAATGTCTTTGGTTGCTTTTGCAGTATGCTTCAGGTCAATGTCCATCTGCACTGTGAAGCATCGTCCAATGAGTTTTGAAGCATTTGGTTGAATCTGAGCAGATAATGGTGCCCCAAACACTTCAGCTTTCATCCTGCTGCTCTTGTAAGCAAGACAAGACTTCACTAGAATAAATACAGAGGGTTTATCACAAGATGCAAACCATTGGTTAGCCTTAAAAATGGAAGGCCAGATTAGAGTTTGTCAAAAACCATCTAAAAAGCCTGTACAGTTGTGGAACAGCATACTATGGACAGATAAAACAAAGATCAACTACCAGAATGATGGGAAGACAAGAGAAGGAAGAAGGGAAGGAACTGCTCATGATCCAAAGCACACCACCTCATCAGTGAAGCATGGTGGAGGTACTGTTATGTCATGGCCATGTATGGCTGCCAGTGGAACTGGTTCTCTTGTATTTATTGATGATGTGACTGCTGACAAGAGCAGCAGGATGAAAGCTGAAGTGTTTGGGGCACCATTATCTGCTCAGATTCAACCAAATGCTTCAAAACTCATTGGACGATGCTTCACAGTGCAGATGGACATTGACCTGAAGCATACTGCAAAAGCAACCAAAGACATTTTTAAGGCAAAGAAGTGGAATGTTCTGCAATGGCCAAGTCATATCATCTGACCTGAATCCAACTGAGCATGCGTTTCTCTTGCTGAAGCCAAAACTGAGGGCAAAACACCCAAAACACAAGCAGGAAGTGCAGACGGCTGCAGTAAAGGGCTGGCAGAGCATCACCAGGGAAGAAACCCAGCATCTGATGATGCCTATGTGTCCAACACTTCAGGCAGTCATTGACTGTAAAGGATTTGCAACCAAGTATTAAAACTGACTGTTTAATTGATGATTATGTTAGTTTGTCCAAATACTTATGAGCCCTTAAAGTCGGGGGACTGTGTGAAGAAATGGTTGTTATTCCTACACGGTCCATACTACATTTTTGAAAAAAGCCTTAAATGAAAGCTGAGAGTCTGCACTTTAAGCAGGTATTCATTGTTTCATTTAAAACCCATTGTGGTGGTGTACAGAGCCAAAATGATGACAGCTGTATCATTGTCCAAATAATTATGGACCTGACTGTACATTGTCTGCAGATGCGTTTATGTCCATGTATGAGTACAATAATATTTAATTCTCAATGTATTTATTTTTTTAACTGTCTAATTTGCTACAAGCAGCTTGTAACGTTTAAGTTACCGAGCACTGCAGGTGTAAGTTATTTAGTTATTTTTTGTACACATTCAAGCAGCTGAATATAAACTGCTTTGCAATATGTTTATTGTCACATGTAAGGATTGGCTTTCATTCCTTTTCTCTCTTGTTTTTGTGAACTATGGAAATTTAGATCCATATTAGCATTTACTTCTGTGGTAAAATGATTTATCCAGCAGAGGGAGACAGAGGAAAGGTTTTAAACTCACTATGACCCCTCCTCCTCACAGACACACACACACAGACACACACACACACTCACTCCAGGGACTCATTAACCTCATCAAACCAGTGACAGGTGTGCACATTGAATAATTTGTGTAAGTGCTGAAGGAAAAGGTGTGAAAAAAGAGCTGCGGTTGAGCAAACTATGCTTAAGTGTCACTGAATCTCCGCCACATACTGTTTTGTAACTCGTGCTCTGAACTCACTGTGGAGTCGTGTAAGAGAACCTGCAATATCATCACTATTAAAAGGGTAATAGCCACATTACCTCCTGCTTTTATTGTTTACTTTAAGTTACAAGAAAGAAGTTGCACATTGAAAAGTAGTAAAAACAAAAACCGATACATTACTCTGAACATCAAGATTGGAAAACAAAAGTGCAGTAAACACTGTACAGAGATAACCAGCTTCTGTGGCTAAGATGAAATCTACCAAAGCAACATATCATATAAAAAGAGGCCTATGCTTCTTCTATAAAGAACAGGTTAAATACTGTCAACTGATTATAAGAAACGTACTAGTCAAATGTTTTTTAAGAAAACATGGCACTATATACCCCATTTATATATTTATGAATGGAAAATAAAAGCATAATAATGTTTGCACGTCTGACTACAAATAAAACATTCAAAACAAAAAGAAATATACACATCTGTGTTTCATATACAATACTTTAAGTAATATTGTCAACATACTGTAGGTCTTTACTCCCCCAGTATCCCCCTTAAATCCCACCCATATGCGTATTCACCATCTAAAGTGCTAATCTCCTCAAAACTTTTTTACATGCAGAAAAAACTCAAGTATATACATTATGCTTTAAATAACAATTTCAAAATCATATATATAATAAGAGGTTGCATTAGAGTTCTCCAAGACTCAACATTGAATCTCTAATATTGGAAAACTCCCCAAAATGTTTAAGTGGTGTGACTCATGCACTGCCATGTTTCTAAAAGTCTGTTTAAACTACTGTATATTTCATGTTTGCATCTAGCATGAATTCTACTAAAACAACAACTTATTGTGGCTAACGATGCCATTATTTACTTCATATCCTTGTATACAAAATGGCAACATCAATAACTAGAAGTAAGACATATTCCCATATATCCACAGCTGAATCATGGAAATGCTTGGATTGAGTTTATGCTGGTGAGCTAAAGTGGCTCCAGAGAGCCCGCTGATTAACTGACATGAACACTGAACCCATGGACAAAACACATGCCACTGTACATCTATTATAGGAACATTCATCCACACGCTTGTTAAGAAGAGAACGTTCAAATAAAATGGTGACATTTTAAATGGATGTGAGGAATACTGTATATGGCTTTACAAGAAGACCATTAATTCTGCTGTGATAAAATCCTTTCACAATAAAATAACATGAGGTAATGCAAAGGTAGGTGTCCGATTCAATGCTGGGGTTATGGAAAAAATGTCCATTAATAAGTTACAAGGTAAGTTTAGTATTTTTCACCCTAGACCGTATTGTCTTATGTTTTTGTGTCTAAGTGACTACGGGAACCATTTCTGAAATTGGTCTAGTGTTGAGTGAGAGGGCTGCAGCTGGCAGTGTTGAAACAAGCTGCAGTGTAAACACATGGGGCATGTCCGTACTGTCGATTTACACCCACTGAAAGTGCTGCTTCTGCCACGGACAGGCTCAGATTTTTATTTTAATTGTCTGACAACTTATGGACTTGATCCCTACAGAGATAGACCTTTTTTTAAAAGAGTAAGATCCTTGTTGTTTAATTGGAAACGAAATCGCCATCACCAAACACACCAGACTCCCCTTAAAATAAGCCGCAATTAAGCATGTACAGAGCCAGAATGTTTTTACATCTAAGTGGGTGAATTAAGGGTTTATTTCAACCAAACCGAGCTGGTGATAGTTTAACAAGTGGAAAGACAAACCAAAGCAGTTTTTGTGAGTTTTATTTTGTTTCAGCTCTGAAAGGAGTGTGTTTGACAATGATAAAATTACTGTTTTTTTAAATGGAGTCTGGTGGGTTTGGTGATAGCCATTTTGGGGCTGTTCCTAATTAAACAAATAGAATTTTTCTCCTTAACACAAAGGTCTGTCTCTGTAGGGATCCTTTATAAGTTGTCAGACACTTAATGGTCTGAACCAGTCAGTGGCAAAAACAAGCATTTTTAGTGAACGTAAATTGACTCAAACATGCCCCAAGCGTTTAAATATCAGCCTATTTAGCCGTTGCTGGCTGCAGCAGTCTCGCTTAATGCTAGACCAGTGTCATCAATTGCTGTCACTTAAACACAAAAACATCGGAAAAGAGGAGCGAGTTTGAAAAATACCGAACTTACCCTTTAATAACTGAGGTGTGTGTAGCATCTAACTTTGTATTCTGCAAACCATATCCTGGGACTACATTAACAGCTGCAGGAGGAGGTGGATGGCGAAAAGCAGGACATACAAAGTAGAGTAGGGCAGTGAGAGTGCAGGACAACAGATGGAGGTCAGGTGGACTGAGACAGAGAGGTGTGAGCGTGAAGAAACAGAAGGACAAAAAGGTTTTATACCTCGCTGGAGCTGACTCCTCATCTCTGATCAGGTTAAATATGAACACATTGGGTATGAATGCGGTCCACACGCACACGCACGCACGCAAATACACAAACTCTCAGATCCAGGAGTAGGGCAGGCTTTAAGACCTGCAGCAGCTTGTGCTCTTCATCTCCTTGTTTACATACTCCTGGAGCTTAAACTTCTCGCTGGGATCCTTCATAGACCGGTGCTTCAGCTCCCTGAGACAAAGGAAGAGTATATGATGAGGTTAAATGAAATGGAGCCGCCATTAATTCTACAAATGATCAGTTTACACCTAAAGTTAACTCCTGAACTCATTAACTGATACTGGGATGTTCAAAGTACATGTATTATTTTAGCAAATGAGAATTCACTTAATACTACATGGAAGTTTGACCTCCACTATGTGTGACTGGACACTATGACTGGTCCTGTCCTTAAAGTTTTGAAATGAAAAATATTTTTGCATATTGTTAGTAGGGCTGCCCCCCTAATAGTCGACCAGAAAGGGAATTAGTCAGCAAGATTTCATTGGTCGCTTAGTTGCAGAAAACAAACCACAACAAACAAATGTTAAACTCTATTAGGAGCTGCACCTTATCACCTTGCCTTGTACGACTTATTCCACAGGCTAGTTAATAACATGTCGGGCAGGAAATCCAAAGTGTGGGATCATTTTGAGAAGGTGAAGGATGAACCCAAGGTGATATGTAAACTCATCTTCATTGGTCGACTACAAACATGACGTATCATCTGAAACATGGAAGCAGCTACATGCCCATTAACCCACAGCGTCATTAACAGGCAGCTCGCTCAGTGTGTGACGTGCATACATAATTAAATTAATGTAGTAAACATGGGGGCAACTTGTCGACTAAAGGCCCTAAATGAAGACTACTGGTTCAACCAGGAAAATTCTTAGACGGGGGCAGCCCTAATTCAAAATTTCTGGATTTTCCGATAAGGGAGAAAGACAAGATGTGGAAAATCAATCTATCAGACACAAATTATTTTTCCTACCTGATTTTTTTTGAGTTTGGATTTGGGTGTTTTGTTAAACCATCCCCAAGGTCAAAAACTAACATTTCTCATGTACTTTAATCACAGCAGTGTTGTCATACCTTCATCTTAATAGCTGAGTATGTCAGTATTTAGTAGATTAAAAATACATGACTTATGCTGTGTTCACATGGAATCAGGCAGACAGCAGACAGAAAACACTGTCTGGACAGCACGGGAAAAACAAACAGCCTGACAGAATGGCAGGATGGTCAGTGAAACATACTGTATTGTTTACATAGAATGGTATTAAATAAAATTATTTTGTGTTTATAATTTTGTGTAATCTCCAGATTACCCAGGTTTACTCTTTGTGTGAGGGAGCTACGCAACACCCAGATGTAAATTCAATCGTGGAGAATGGCAAAAAGTAAAAATATTCTAAGTTTTATCAGCAATGCCAGCCTCTCCTAATGTTACTGTCCCCCTCTCGTCCACTAAAATAAAATCCAGTGTGCCATCTCCCTGATTTTACATAAACACAGCATCAATCAGATTGATCCACAACACTTGCAGAGAGGATGATACTCACTTAGCCACAGCGGTGAAAGCCAGCTCTACATTGAGACCTGACCTGGCGCTGGTCTCCATGAAGGGAACTCCAAACTCCTGCAAAGTCAAAGTCAGACGTTCATCATTTTACGCCCAGCAGCCTCAAATAAGTATGATAATTGAACACTTTTCAGACGGCTGCTGCTTCTCTGACAAAGACGCACACAAAAAAGTTCACAGCCGAAACTTCCCAGCACAATAGCGAAGTCGTTTGTTTTGGATAAATCCAGTGCAGTTGTGATCAATTTGTCTCCCAGCTTTCCCTCTGCAGGGGAATTTGTCTCAGCCTGCAGTGATGATAACTGATGTGCTTTTTTTCCCTCCCAGACTGAGCCTTAAGTTACTTAGCTGCACTTTATTGCTCCCACTTCTGGGGAGAATCGCTTGGCTGTCTGCTATTTGTTTTGTGTGCCATGCTGTGAGACAACAGTTGGGGAGACTGATCAAAGGAAATGTTTGCTCCTGGTTTCAGTGCTTAGTGGTGCAATTGAAGCAAGCAGGACTGTGAAGCTGATTGTGACTGACATGGTGAATAAATGTTTTGCAGAAGGTCATAAAACCTTTAGAGATCTGTACAATAAAGAAAAATCTGTACAATAAATATTCATTATCAAAGGTCCACAGGAAGGTAATTCATCTGAGATGTCTGGCCTTTATTTGTCTAATCTATCTTTTTGGTTTGCAGGTGGTACTTTTTCCTCACAGGGCGAAAAAATAAATCTGTGAGCACTGATCTCTAGATAATCCCACCTTTCTGTAATATTCATAATCTTCTCATCTGCCACAGAAATTCAATCAGCCATACAAATACCTTTAGAAAATTACATGAAAGGAGAAATCTCTCAAGGCCTTGTAAAAGACTGCCCATATGTTTTGGAAATTCTCAATTATTCACCTTTGCAAGCCTCTCGCCATCTTCTCTCTTCACCACCCGCTCATGAGTGGCATCAGCCTGGTGAGACGAGATAAACAAGGTCACACGTGCAACCAGCATCGGTGAGAAAAACCACAACATCCACCCACTGTGCAGATCTGCTCGCTATTTGTCTACAGTTTACATACAAGCCTTTTCCTGGTGTTCAGGTCTGATGGCGGCTAATGAGTCAAGATTGACTCTCAGGATGCTAATTAAGCACCGATATGAAGTGTGGGGGACTGAAACAAGACAGAGCTCCAAGGCAGAGACATCTGTTCTCTGTTCAGAGGAAGGGATGCGAATGGCAGCTCTGGAAAAAAAAAAAAAACGTGTGACACTGATATTTGCAAATAATCAGGTTGAGTTATTGTCAGATGTTTGTGTGATTGAAATGAACAAGAGTGATTGTACTTTTAGAAATACCATCAGGCGAAGAGTCACCAATGATCGACTGACTGAGCTTTAAGTTGGTTTAAAAAATGTAGCTGTGCTTGAACATATATAGCTAGCGCTTGATAATCTGCATATATGTATTAGAGTTGGGTATCTGTACTAGTGATAATACCTTTAATACCTCACACTGAGGAGCATGAACATTTGCTTTCCCCTTTCTAAATCAATAAAAGGAGCCAAACTTCTTAAACGATAAGCCTGGTTGTTTTCTACATTTGTGTTACTCTGCTGAGTGTTAGTCTATCTCTCAACACTTTCCGACTTCCCTACCCTGTATGTGGCACGAAGCCCAAAGCCCAAAAGTTCCTACTGAAGATGAAAATCTTTTATAAAGTCTGACAAATAAATACTTTTATTACATTTAAATCAGCTGGGCACTGTAGTTGTTAGATAACGTTCCTCAAACAGGAGTCACCAGTGCATTTGTTGGGGACTTTTTTAGCTGTAGATTAGTAGACATTTGGTGCTCTAGGGCAGTGGTTCCCAACTGATTGGTCGCGGACCAAAAGTGGATCACTGGCCAATTCTGAATGGACCGAAAGTGAGTCGTGTCAAGTTCATAAAAAAAAAAACACACTTTATATGTAAGTACAGTAAATTTCTATTTCTTTTTATTATAAAATGCTTTTTCCTGCTGTACAGTGAGTGACTAACGGACAGCTACTTGACCGAGACAGCAAACTAGCTCAACAAACTGGCCAAGTATGACACTGAATGTATTAAACTGTGTGGACCTTGAACTAATGACTCAGGAGAAATCTGGACCCTGTGGCTAGACCAGTAGGTAACCACTGCTCTCGGGAGTATGTACGGGAGCAGAAGGTGTTCGGCATTGCCTTAAAATAAACTACCACTGTCCACGTTCACTGTAATGAAGGAACCTGTCAATCAGTGTAACAGTGTGGCTCACTATTAGGTTGTCAGCTGTGACTAGCAGCTCTATATCTCATGCTGTCGGCTGGGCGATCCACAAAAATTCCCTGTCCTTTGGCGGCGACAGTACTTGCCATAGGAAGCTGAAATTTGGCAGGGTGGACAAGTGTGTGTGTGTGTGTGTGTGTGTGTGTGTGTGTGAGTGAGTGAGTGTGTGAGAGAGAGAGTGAAGGTGTGTGTTTGCATTCATGCCTATTGGTTAAAAGGGCGTAGTGCCAAAGAGACTGACCCATTGTAAAAAGGTGCATCACTTCCAAATGGATTCACAGACTTGGCCAAGATTTTGTGGGGAGATGAGTCATGAGCCAAAGGGCGGCTGATTTACAGTTCATGCCAAGTGGCAAAAAGGGGCAAAACATGGATGAATGCACGTACATTGTCGCAGCTATTGTGAATTAGCGCTCGTTAATAATAGACTTGGGACAATGAGGTAGGTCTAAGGCACAAAGTAATAAGCTATATCAGACTTTGAATATACAGACATTGTTGAAATATATAGCTGGACTTATCCCATAAATTCATCACTATTTGACTTTGCCTGAATTTAAAGCTATAATAAGGAGAACTCTGCCTTATTAAGATATATTTTACAATTAGCAAATTGTTTACTCAAGTCAGGAAATACCTCATCAAAGAATAAGTAAAATGAGAATTAGAAAAAGCATTAAAGATCCATTGTGTAGGATTTAGTGGGATCTAGCAGTGAGGTTGCAGACAGCAAACAACTGAAACTCCCATGTGTGAAGGGTGTGGGAGAATTCTGGTGGCCGATGCGGAAATGCAAATGGCCCTATTTAGAACCAGTGTTTGGTTTGTTTGTTCTGGGCTACTGTAGAGAAACATGCTGGACTCTGTGCAAGAAGACCTGCTCCATATGTAGATATAAACGCCTCATTCTTTGTTTCAGGTGATTCTAAACTAATAAAATCATAGTTATGACTTTTATATACCAGTTCCGCCAATATAACCCTGTAAATCCTACTGGACCTTTAAATGCCAGTGGTTTAATACTTAAGTTGGTATCAAAAGTTTTGTGAAGTATTGGAGTTTGATACGCAGTTCTAGTGTGCATGCATCTAGAGTATTTTTTCAGTCTACACACAATGCCTTACCTTGTTTCCAAGCAGCATCAGCACCACATCCTGTTGGGCGTACTCATGGATCTCAGTCAGCCATGCCTGGTAACAATACAGGACAAAGAGACAAGAGAGGGGGGGAAGACAGAGTAGTACAAGAGTAGATGTTAGATGGGAGGAAAACCATTATGAGTGTGAAAACCTAAAAAGGAACGACCTGAGATAAGAGACAAGAAATATGTAGTACACATAAAAAAGGTCTCCGGGAAGAGAAAACCTTGTCTGGGACTCGTCAAGGACAAGCCTGAGAATTAAATCTAATAACGTGAATAGAGAGGAAGAGGAGAGTGAGAGCGACTTTGGCATTTAGAGGATGAAAACAGGAAAAAGAAGAAGAAAAACTGAGGCGAGGACAAAGAGATGAAAGGGATCAAAGCAAGAAACTGTGAGAGGGAGTTACTGTAACAAACTCTCATCATCAGTTTAATCAACACTGTCTGCTCCATCCTGCCTTAACTACAGTACGTACACAGGGGAGTGATAAAGCTTTACAGGCGAACAAACAGCACTTCTAACTGTATGGGCTCCGACAGCACCTGCACCATCCATTCACGCTTGGTGAGCATTTAATCAGCTCAGACAGACACCTGCACACCCCTCCTGCTGAAATAATATCCCTCATCTCAGCACAAAGCTTAATTGTACCCACAGTGAATTACTCCACATTGGATTTCTGACTGGCTGGTGATCAATCAGCCTTCCCTATAGTAGTCCTACTCCTGAGCTGTTTCCCCCTCTGGGAGCTCCTCTGTAATTAATTCTGGTGATGACTCGGTGTTTGTAAAGGGATTTCACCGGGGTCACCTCCAGTCAAAGGTCAAGTTAAATAACAGGAGATGAGACAAGCAATGAGTTGACACTGCTGCCTTTGAATAGTGGTGTGATTAAGAAAGACAAATCTCTATTATAAACAATAGATAATGAAACAAAACATTTAAAAAAAATCTAAGAATTTGAACTTCCATTGTCCTGTTTGATGCTCAAAAGCCATCTAGAACTAATCCACATCATCTTTAAACCCGTCTCTCAGGCTATCTCAGTCTTCAGCTGCAGTCAAAACCATCCCACAATCAAACTCTGGTGCTCCAGGCCTTCACCCAGTCAACTCAACATCCAACAGAATGATGCATGGCCCTCTACAGGCTCGCATGATTAGCATTGCATGACCATTGCCCACACACGCAGGTGCTTATAAATAAAAGATCTGCATCTCAGTCAGCTTCTGCCATGCCATTCTACTGCAAATTGAACCCATGCAGTAAGTCACTCACTTTTGCAGGGGCTGTAAAAAGGTTTATTGCTCATAAGGGACAGGGCTACATTCTAAATCGTCGTTTAGCTAAACGGTGTTTAAAGGGAACAAGAAACACGATATAAATGCAGACAGAGGGAGGAAAACGCCTAAATAAAACTTTGCTCTTTCAATCTGGCCTTTAATTTAGGTACTATAAGCTGAACTTCGGTTTACGTTTTTACTAATAACTAATTATACTGTTCTACATACACTGTTCAACTGTACACTTATTTTGTCCTTTAACTAATCCTCTAGTTCAGTGGTGTTAAACACATGGCCAGTGAGCAAGAACCAGCCGCCAAAGGGTCCAACATGGCCCACTGCACAGCTAATACTGATGCACTTGTGAAGGCTAAAGGGTGTCAGGTTTCAGGAGCAAGTCAAAACAGCCAGTGGTCTACTTCTGAACATCAATCATCATCATTATTAATCTGTAGGCAAGATTTTGGTATCAGAAGCATTCTGGTGTAGTTGGAAAGGTATTGATCAATCAGGTTTGGGAGGCAGGTTAACTGTACGTGTGGAGAGGCGGAATGCATTGGCCAATACGCGATCTCGGATCCCATTGGCTATTGTCCAGTGTAATTTAGCTTTCTACTGGGGCTAGCGGGATATCAGATTTTAAATACAGGATTATCACACCCAAAATAATTCACAGTAACAGTATTATCACGATTTCTATAGGCAATTTAAAAAAAAAAAGCCACTCACAAAAAGTAGCTACCCACTGTGGTAGTAAGCTAGCTAGCTACTTGGAGCTGATGTGGCTTTCTCTGATGCGTACCTGTGTGTGTTGTGTCTCTAAATAAATCATATGTTTTTAGCATTGTATTTCTTTTGTACAGCACGAGTTTTTGTAAATGAACAGCTTCAGAGTGTACTTACACCTCTTTACACTAAGAGAAAGGTGAAATTTAGAGGTGCTATTTATAGGTTATTATGCAATGATTTTACTGGTCCAGCCCACCTGAGCTCAAATTAGTCTGCATGTGGCCCATGAACTTAAATGAGTTTGACACCTCTGCTCTAGTTTATTGTGTTGCCCTGAAATCAATGCTGAATCTCGTTTGCAACTTGACGTTCTTTGGATCTAATGAGGTCAAAGAGGTTTGGTGGTTTAAAAGACCAGATGGTGGCCCAGAGGATCTTTAATAAGTCGGTGAGCTCCACCTGTGGGGGGTGGAGGACCCATTGAGAGGAACATTTAGAGACGTTTAGAGAGAGAGTTCCAGCTGAGCCCTGTGCTATTCTGAGATAGCCGAGAGAAGATTGGGTTGACTTGCTTGGAATTTGCATCACCGGTGCTCTTCAACAAAGTGCTGAAGGGGCAAAATGTAACTGAGAAACATTTTCCATATTTATAATTACCTGCTTCATGCATAATTCAACTTCCTGCCAAGGTTTCCCATCATTCACATGTTGCTCAGTAAGGTCGTTGTCTTTAAAAATGGCTCGTCTTTAAATTCTGTGCAGCCCTTATAAATAATCTGTGTTTATGTGAGGTGACTTGTATCAGTCAAAATAAGACATTGCATATTACTGTGCACATTTGACCTTTGTAACAGGAGGTTATTGTTCATCTATCTCCAACCATTGCAAACTTTCATCCTCCTACATACAATCTGACAGCCTGCCTCTGAGTGATTCTCTCCATATGCTGTGATGAACCATAGCTTGTAATTAGATCACTGAGCTGTTTATGGTGCAGGAGATAGATGACATGTGGAATGACTCGACAGCAAAGATGGATCGATGCAGTAAATGTGATTTAGACATTACCATTTGAATAAGAGAGTGGAAATGTTGGTGCAGTTATACTGATTGTGTCGTAGGTGCTGGTGGACCTGGAATGGCTTTGGCTCCACCAGCACAGCCCTCCACAAAATTAATGCAACTGGAAACTAAAAAAATTATCTCAATTAATAAAGACACTTCCTCAGCAAATGCACATCTACTTGTGAGAAAGAGACTCCGGTTTTGAGAAGGCGATAGCTGACGAGTGAACAAGCTCACATAAATTAGGATACCATGATGAACAGCCTACTATTGAGAGTCATTACATCTCTGTAAAGGCTGAACAAACAGTGACATCCTGTTGTCAGTGTCTCATTCATACAATGCAAGCAAGGCTTGAAATATGAGGCTCTGGGGGGCTGTAATGTACAGTGATAAAACCCTGTAGAATCTCTAATATCTAAAGCTGCCTTTATTTTTCCTCGTCTGTCACATTTACTCTTGCACTCTTGTAAATTAGATTCACACATAGCAATGTGGATTAAAGTCTGTATGGCACTGAAATCAGTTTATCTCGCAGTGACTTGTTTAAAATGTCAGCTGAGACTCTGCTTTACTTCTATGTATGTAAATGAATCTGAACAAATGATGATGGCTAGCTTGCTTGCTAACAAAATAAAACATATAAGAAACACTGCTGGTTCTTGTAGTTCTACTAAAATTTCAACTGGAAGTGTAAAAGAAATATTTCACTGCTGGAAAGATGGTCATAAAACTAGGCTGCCTATTACACAGAAAGATGCAAATACTTGTGTAATTGTTGCTAAATGACCAGAGAAAACAAAGGGAAAGGGCTGCAGAAAACCTACAACTACCAGAACGCACTGCTTCTTGTAGACAAATTCCAGTGTTACAGCCCTACAGTGTGCAAATACATTTCTGAAGACATTTTACACATGTAATAGTCAAAGTAACAGAATCTTGGTCTATATTTGATCAGCACTGCCTTGTTTCACTATTTGATCAGAGTTTGGGCGGGGGGGGGGGGGGGGGGGGGGGTGTTTCTCTCTATCCGCTTCTTGATCTGACATCACGGATCTGAAGTCTTAAAGGGTCGCTAACTTTGTCATCTTCTTTTTCCATTATACTGTAATAGACAACAAAGTTCCAGCAACATTGTATAATAAAGAGAGACAACCCTATTTTAAGAAATCACCTCTGGGTGTCATTATGCTCCAATTTACAGTTTGTCAGTCCAGGATGAGAAAGGAGGAAAACCACATTAGAAAAAAAAGTAATTAGTCAGTTTCCCGAACTAAGATGAGATATACAGGCTTTCAAGTTTACTGGACATGGCAGGCAAGATGGAGACTTTGTTGTGTCTGAATGGTAACTTGTCGGTGAAGATTCTCAGTCATCCAGGTCACGGTAATCATAAGTGCTAATATCATAGGCAACTGGACTTGCTTGCGTTTCTTGAAGACGTTTCGCCTCTCATCCAAGAAGCTTCTTCAGGTCTAAATGACTGGTACAGAGTTGCAGGATATAAACCCTGTGTGGGAGAGAACCCCTGCAGAGTCGTAGAGGTCACGTGAGCTCTTAGTTTCAGAGTCGTTAAGGTCACAATGTGAGTCGTTGACCCACCTGGCCACCATGTGAGTCGTTAGGTCTCACGTGGGACTAGGGGTGAATGGGTGTGAAGTCATCTGGGGAGGGATCCTAAGACTCTGCTGTCCACTTACATCTACAGGAGAAAGGACACTCCTTTGAGGACAGCAATGTGCACATCTTGGCCAGGGAGGAAAGATGGTTTGAAAGAGCTTCTACGTCAAGCTGGAATGACCATCGTTAAACACAGGGTTCATAGCCTGCAACTTTATACCAGTCATTTAGAATTGAAGAAGCTTCTTGGATGAGAGGCGAAACGTCTTCAAGAAACGCAAGCAAGCCCAGTTGCCTACGATATTAGCACTTACGATTGTGTCTGAATGGTTCTTGATTTTGACTGTGGTGT